TCATCACTCATMTGAAATGCAATTTACCCAATGTCCCTTGTTAGGTTATTATACATTATGCAATCTCATTYCGATAATGAAATAAGGCATATAGAACTTAGAGCGTAGACCTTAAATGTTTTCACTGATTATTCAGATTTTATGAATTAATTATTAATAAGGTTTTGATCATGTTGGTGAAATTTGCATATAAAAAGAAAACAGATGGATGTTTAATTGGCCAACTACGGGCTAGGTAGGTAGGTAAATAGCTTATACGTTATTAGTTATATTTTTACCATTGATACTCTATTACCTGTGTTATTTGGTGCACCGATGTCCCCCTATTTATCCAAGGCATGCCAGTAAGAAAATTTTACCCAATTGTGTTAGGGGTGCATGCCAAGTAGTTAATTGGAATCACTCTGAGTACCTGTGTAACTCTCATATAGTCTTGTACCTGATACTACTGTTGAAGAGAGGCCCATAAAATGACACACTCCCTTGAAATGTGATTGGTGTTTCATACCAAAGTAGTACCAAAATATGCATCAACAAGGTTTGGTGAGGTGTGGAATTTAAATTCTAGTGATGCATTTATGAATTGAATGGAGAACTTGAGTTTATTCTAGCTTCTTGTTGGTATGAGACCACCCATGTGGACTTCCTTCATGAGATAATCATTTGTTTGACCAAATAGACAGAAAAAAGAGCAGTAATTGATGTTTGACAAAATGCATATATAGAAACCTTATGACTGGATGCAAATAGTTGAAGAATGGAGTCATTATTATGTATATACATACAGGAGTCAACTTTTGTTATTGGCAAGTGATACTAATTACTAATATGTTAATTTATTAATTGTTTTTATCATGACACCACATACACGTTCTCAAATGCACAAAAAGACTATATGTTTGTTTTAATCATTCAAAGGTGAAATAATTTTACAATGTGAATAATCAATGTGAGTAAATATAATAAACCCAGCTTCACTTCARTATAAACATCACCAGAGAAAACAAATGCWCAATGAAGCTAGCTGCATTATTATATTCATTAACAGTAKGTTTGTGTTGTTTGTATAAAACTGTGTAATTGTGTTGTTTACAAATGTTAATGAAACAGGTTTCATAAACAAGTTTTTTACAACAAATGTTAATGAAACATGTTTCATAAACAGGTTTTTTTACAACTGTTCCATATATATGTTAATGCTCTGTAACATGTTGTTTTATATAGTGAATCAGGTTTCATAAACCAGTAATGAAACAGGTATCATAATCAGGTTCTTTACAATTGTTCCAGAGAAAACAAATGTTAATGAAACATGTTTCATAAACAGGTTTTTTACAACTGTTCCATATATATGTTAATGCACTGTAACATGCTGTTTTATATAGTGAATCAGGTTTCATAAACATGTTAATGCACTGTAACATGCTGTTCTATATGGTGAATCAGGTTTCATAAACAGGTGTTTCATATGATGTTTCATATGCACTATAACATGCTGTTAATGAACCTAAATGCACTGTAACATGCTGTTTTATATGGTGAATCAGGTTTCCATATATGTTGTTTTATATGCACTGTAACATGCTGTTAATGAACCTAAATGCACTGTAACATGTTGTTTTACGTGCTGTTTCATAATGGGGAATCTTGTTTACATGTTGTTTATATGGTGAATCAAAACTGTTTACATGATGTCTATAATGGTGAATTTTCTTTCATGTGCTTGCTTTAACTTATACAAATTCTATTTCATTAAAATGCCAACAAATGTAGGATCATATTCAGCGCATCCTTATTAAGATGGCGATGGTTGTAAGTTCAAGAATAGAGGCTGATATGGAAATCAAAGATGCTATATCTAAGTTTCCAGATGATGATGAATTCAGACAATATAAGAAAGAGTTGGATGACATGTTTGGTGAAGGAGCACGTAAGACCACACATGACACTGGTTTTAGTGGATTAAAGGACCAGTCGACTTCAAAAAARGATGGTCAACCTTCATTAGATATTGTTCTAAGTCAACCAAAGGGAGATGATGACTGCAATAACAGTGGGTTCAATGAAGAACCACTGCCCAGAATTTGGTTAAGCTCTGGATTCATCGAAGCAATTGACAAAGTAATAGACAACACGATATCAAATTCAAAGATGAAACAATCATATGCAAGCATTACAGTTGGTTCATAACAGTAACGAATTTGTCTTCGTTCCATCTTTCCAACTAATGTTGGACTTGCAGKCTAGTTCTAAACCACMTTTGGTTGCCATGCTGAGGTCACAATTTCATTTGTATAGCAAGAATATACACTGTTTACTGCTAACTAACAATTAGATGTGGCATTTGTTAAAAGTTACACCATGAGACAAGTTTCATTAACATAGCACTTCTGAAACAAGTTTCATTAGACAACAAAATTAATTCTTTGCATTCTTGTAMACAGCAGCAACAATAACAAAGTCGAGAGGTGTGCATCAATAACATCATCATCGACTGTTGTGAATTCTSAAAGTCAACCTACAACAATGAAAGCAAATCAATACCTTCAGATTCATTGCTCAACGAAGCAACGTCATCATCGACAAAATCTACAAAAACTCCGTCGTTGTGCTCACGTAATGTTTCGTTTCGATCRTTGCAGCCATCTTCATTCCTCGTTGAATAATTGCATTGATCTTCGATTGTTTCATCATTAACTGCGGTTGCATTTTCACCAACATAATCAAAACCTTGACAGTCGTTCATAGAATMAAAAACACGGATTTCTTCGACGATATCCTTAATGAAAGTCTCGTTGAATGACATATAATCCATAATTTTAATATAGGGTTCTATAAGCTACTGAATAATTGTTAAAACTATTCAACGAASACCATCCATTTAGACGRATTAAGTTATGGAATGTATTTCATTTCCATAACTGATGAAGCTATTAAGATAAGATGTAATGAATCACCATAAATAGGATATAATTTATTTTTAATTAAAAATACTTATAATTATCTAAATTTAGTAAATGACATATTTAACCTTTTCAATTAAAAAATAATTTAAAAAAAAGAAATTCATTGATTGGTTGGAAAAGAGGTTGTAAGGGTTGTAACAATAGGATGGGTTGTATTTGAAATATACCCTATATATATATATATATATATATATATA